GTCCTGTCAACTCGCCTTCCAATAATCCAACTTTAAGATTGCGTGTAATATACCAGTAAATTCAGCCCGACAACTTAACACATCCTTCAATACCCCAGCAAATTATCCATCCCTACCCCTTGATGAAGTGCTCCAGTAGTCAGTTCAACAATAACTGTGTAATTAATTTCTTGTTGTTGTAACCCTTAGGTCCAAATACTTACTATTATTATTCACATCAACAATATTATTGTGCTTGAGTTTATCACCTGATTATGCATTGAAGGCTACAAAAAAAGTGATCAAGTTAATACCCACAGGGGGCTCTCACATTCAACCAGACTATAATAAATCGATGTGTGGAATGTGTTTTCTTTGGCTGCCATTTTGAATTTTACAGTCAGCTGGTGAGACGTCTGGAACAAAGAAATATTGGGAAATAACTTTATTACACTCGGCAAGCCATCACATCTGGAATTTCCAACTTCCTAGACCCCCTAAAATTCTCAAGTTCTAGACCTCACATCAGTTGACTGTAAAATTCAAAATGGCTACCACAGAAAAAACACTCTAGGCATTGATAAAGTATGTACTCATTTTTCATTTATGATAGTCTAAGGAGATACAAGAGCCTCCTGTGGCTCCAAACAACAGTTATGTTATTATTATCGTTATAAATTATTTTTGAAACTAAATTCAGGTGTTCTGAATATATGGTCAACTTAAGTTAGTAAACAAAAGTTTGAATCTCACAGGTGCAAGTTGTTGCAGTTTGCAGTCTCAAATATATGTGTTCCTATAAAGCTTTGATCTTGTAATATAATTACAAAGAAAAAGCTGAATACTTTATTACAAGCAGTAATACATCTATGTACAAGACCCTTTCTGTGGTTTTATGTGGTAAGGGCTAAGAAGCCCATTGTGAAGCCTTTACCAGCCATGACACCGTCATTATTGTCAAATTGCTGATCTATAAATCTACTACGCCTTACTATTTCTGTCTGAGATATGACCAGTATATAGCTACAATGAGGGACAAAAGTGTTGAGACACTTCCGTAAGATGGCCCCTTTTTGAATAGTCAACATACCTATCCCCTTCCCCTGTCTACTGCAACCCCCTCCCCTAAAAAGAATGAAGTAATAAATGAACTAAATGTTTGAAAAAAGAACCATTTTAAACAAGTGTGTCAACTACTTTTGTACCTGATTGTAGCTTATAAATGAAAATGCTCCACCTGACGTGATACCCACCAGAGCTTTCAAGGTGGTATGATTTTTATAACTGCTAAAAAGTTCACTGTTTAATAGAAGGCTGCTAGGCATCTGACATTTAATTTCAGTACAGTCAATGACTACTCTCGTTCCTTGAATTGTTGTGGCATGTGCCTGTTGACCATTCCTCTCAATGGCTACAAGGGGACATTACGGAAATGCGCCCATTAAAAAATGTCAATTGTGAAAATGCAAATAAGTGAAAAATGACGTAAATTGAGTGTCAATCAAGAAATCCCATGTATATCTCTTTCCTGGTTATTGTTCCTGCTCAGCCATCCACAGCATTGCCTGTTCAAAGAAGAATAGAACTTCAAGCGACTAACAATAGCTCAGTCTATTTAGAACTGTCTAAATGTAATCCGAATTAGCATGTGACTATTTGCTTTTAAACGTTTTAAAATTGGAAAATCCTTGATCACTGATGTTGATTTTGGGGTGAATATTTTAACGCACTGACTTTTTACGAATTTTTACTTTTTAACAATCGAACTGATTGATGAAATATGAGCCCAATCGATGCGTTAAAGGTTTGTTTACATTTGTTGCTGGTTTTAGATAAGATTAAAACCTTAAAATTTATTGCTAAATTCCACGACAATGCACCCCAACTTATGTTCTTCAATTAAGATATTGATTTCAACAAAGTACAAGGCAAAATTAAGAGCGATAGTTTTTTTTAACACCACTATCCATAATTACGTATTTAATTGCTAAACCCGAACAGTGATCTAATCTGCCGCTTGATACTAATTAACACTGCTAGACATTTTTATTCAAGAAGAGTGTTGAAGTGAAGAATACTCTGGTGTCTGATTAGCTTTAACTGTTTTTCCATCTTGTCGATTTGCACGAGACTAGTGAATTCAAAAATCTAATCATTCAAATGAATCTTGCCCGTAGCCCCACATCTGTGAAAGATCTCATTTCAAAATCTATGGCTTTGGACAAGGGGAATGTGTTTGTTTTAATATGCACTGTTGCTTTTGGCTTCAGGGTCAACTGTAAAGTAAGACGGGTGATCCATTTTGGCCCATCAAAATCAGTTGAATTGTATGTACAAGAGTGTGGAAGGGCTGACAGATATGGTCTCCTTAGTTCATGTGCATTACTGTACAATGGTCTGCTAAGTAGTCACTGTGATGGTGACATGAAGGAGTATCTGCAAATTGAACAGTGCCACAGAAGGTGGCCAATGGAAAAGTTTGGTTCGAAGAAAGTTCTGGGAGTTCAGACCCGAATGGAACGTCTCATTACTGTTGCAATATTTGTGCTGGTGGATGCAAATGTGGTAGTGAGAGCTGTGGTGGGTTTTGGAGCCCCTGTAAAGACAGACCCAGTTTACCTAAGCTCTGAACAGGTCCTGTTAGTGACTGTGACAGCCTTGAAATTGTGCAATTGTAACGCGACAAGACAGAGAAACTTAAAGGAAGAAGCTTCTTGAATTCCAACACAAAATGGCAAAGTAGAGTCAAGCAGACAAAATCGTTACATGTCCAAACTATCTTCTAGAATTCAATGCTTTTCATGTCAACCAGATCACTGAATGTTGTGAGAGGTTATTCTCTGTGGATGATGTTCCCACATCTGTTGAAATATGGCAACATCACTATGCTAGCTCAGCATGCCAGGACTTGGAGGACATAAGCTATTTCATGGACACTGATGCTGACACTTGTAACTCTTTGAGCAATGAAGTGAGGCAAGTAACGCTGGTGAGTGACAGCTTTGTAAAACACATTCTTCAACATATGACTTTATTGTACTTGTAAAAACATCACTGTGTTGCTTTGAGTGTACTAAACCCTTTCACTCCTCGAAAAAGTTGTAGTGAGAATACTTGTCTCGTTAACATTTAAATCTGAGTACAAAATGCTATTATGTCATCAGTCATAAGACCTCTTTGGGAAACATTACGATCAGATAAATGCGTTTCATTTATAATTAATTCGGAGGGAATAAACCCAACCTTAGGTTTGACTTGCCCAAATTGCTTCATACCTTTCCAAACTTTTTTAGCATTTGATATATTTGTATTAAAATAATTATTGCCATATTGTTTTTACAAAGTCTCACTAGGTGGTTTATTTTATTACGATCAAGCATAAACCTAATCTTACTAGGCTGACTCTGGGCCTCCTAAAAGCACCGGAACCAATGTCCTCAGTGATTCTGGAACTGTATGGTGTCCACTATTGCTTTCAAACGTCCCATTGAACTTGGCTAGGATGTCTTGACAAATGATCTTTGTAGCTTTTAGCAGGATCATTGCTTTGCTGTCAAATCCCGATCATAGAGGTTTTTCAAAGCTTGTCCTACATCATCATTAAATGCCAGCATCACCTCTCGTCCTTGCCTATGTGCTTGCAGCCCTGGAACATTTTCTCGAATTTTATCCTTTAAATTTGTTGAGTGAACTCTTTGATTGGTACAGTGCTTCTTGCAAAGTGAGAACCGGAAGCCTCATTTCTGATTCCAGAACCTGAAGCCCACTGCTCCTTACTGACACCTACTCATTAAGAAGCACTGAAGACAGAAACGGAACTCACCAAGGACCACAGGAGAATTGAAGAGAATGGGCTGTTTTCTGAAAAAGAAAGTTGGACAAAACATACAGCAAAACAGTGAGTAAACGCTCTAAGCAGCGAGCAGTGAGACATGTTAGGAGAGACAAAGTGCGTTCCTTTGTGCCTAAACCCGAAGATTGCCCTGACTGGGCTTGTGTTTAGAGTAAAAAGTTGAAAAACTGATTCACAGAAATGATTCAATTCACAACGTAACACCCGCTGATAATAAAGCCTACTTTATCTGAAGAGTGCTACACCATTGTGTGGTACAAAACTACATACATAGTAATAAAATGCCTAGTCAAATGTTCAGGTGATAAAACATTGTACTTCTGGTATTACTATTCTCGCTCTAGTCCTATTAAGCACCCTGACAGCAGTTCTGCATCAGCTAAAATCAAGTAATCAAGCTTCGTAAAAAAGTTTCTTCACCTGGATTTAATTCTATCTTAAAGATGTTTAAGGGAGAAGTTGTTGTTTAAATGATGATTTAAACTCAAAAAAATGTTCGTAAAGCTTCAAAATAAAGTTTCTTAAAATGCCTTTGATTTTATCTGAACGATTAGTAAAGGATAGTTTCCTGTATGTTTACTTAACATTTACTGGCTGTAAGACTCTTTAAGGATAAAACCTGTCCTTTAGCTGATCACTTAAACTCAAAGAAAATATTCGTAAAGCTTTTAATAAACTTTCTTTAATTCTTTTAATTTTATCTGAAAGATTAGTAAACGATAGTTTACTGTATATTTGATTAATATTTACTTGCTTTAAGACTCTTTTACGATAGGACATGTCCTTCAGTTGATCACTGATTCTTTTGAGAGTACTATTAAAATGGTCAACAAGCGCCTTGGTCAATTCTGCAGACAACACCAATGGAAACTTGTGCATCACAACAACATTTTAACGAGCGAAATTAATAGGAATGGACTACACCTAAATAGGAGAGGTAATAAACTCTTAGACAAAAATTTTGTAAATAGTTTATTACATTAACAGGCCATACCGAGTGCCCATGTGTCTAATGAGATCCCTGCAGCTGGAATAAATACGAATTCTTCTTCTGAATCTTTTCATTTCTTGCCTTCTATGCGAGGATTTAAATTAGCCTCTTCACATAACGCTACCTTACCAAAACATATTGATGAGCTGAGAGTCTTGCTTGCTGACTCTCCTTTGGATGTTTTGTCGCTTGATGAATCGGTTAGCAATAACGAGGTTTATATTCCCAGTTACGAGATCATTCGCTGTGATCGAGAACATGATAGTAGGCCTGGTGAGGGCATTTATTTCTATGTTTGCTCTACTATAAATTGTTCTTTGCACCCTGACCTAAGTATCCAATCCCTGGAAAACCTATGTATTGAAATTCACAAACCTAGATCCAAGCCTTTTCTCATTGTGACCTGGTATAGACCTACGAGTTCATCAACAGAAATTTTCTCGCATCTTGAAACTTTGATCGGTAAACTTGATTCTGAAAATGCTGAATTTTATTTAATGGGTGATTTCAACTGAAACTTTGCTTTATCTGAACCTGATAACAATACTGTGTCTGACACTTATTAACGACATTCACCACCCCACTAATGGCCCTGTTCTGTTTTGGTAAGATGTTAATTATATTTTAGTCAAAATACAGTCACTGATTCGGACACGCTGGCAGACAAATGATTTTACAATTTCTTTGTTTATTGATTACAAAATGGGTCTTTCAGCTTTCTCATGTGTTGACCGTACTCTTATGTTTAACAGTACTATTTGAAGATTTAGAGGTTTAAATTGTGTAGGAACAGTACTTGTATGTGCAGCCAGCAGGCATGCATGTGTTACCTTGGATGCTTACTTTCAGATCAGTGAAGAGCGTGAACGTACGTTGAACGTTCATAGAGTTTTCAGCAATTTTTCTTCTTTCCTTCATGGTGATAGTTTGACCTCGGATCAACTCGTCTGTGTCATAATTTCCACAGTATTTAACCAAAAAAACAAAACGATCCATTCCTAGCTTGCTTTGCTGCACTAAACAGTGCAATGGTTCATGTTTTTGGGGGGGGGAGGCGGGGGTGGCAAGTGTAGGAAATGACGAACTGTCCAAACTGTGCTTAGAGGAATATTCCAAGTAGTGGCTGGCGGGATATTCTGCAGTTGCTTCAAGAGCACTGTTCTAATTATAATAATAATAGCGAGCTTATGCAACAGGAGGGCAAAACGCTTGTGTGTGGCAAACGTGACAGGCTTTATACAGATACGTTTGTTGTGATGTTTAATTACCAGTAAAGTAACTGTGCTTCGATCTTTTACAAAAAGATCTTTTAAATGGACAGTGAAGTTTGGTGGAAATTGTTTTCAAACAGAATTATTGTCATGCTTATCACACAAGGTTTGCCATCTTCTTCCCTCCGCGTCACTTTGCTTAAGTTCACCAATGTCCTGTTTAATATTAAGTAAATGCTCGTCTCTATTTTAACAGCTAATCAGAAAGAGTTAAATGCAGCATGCATCGCCTTGTCAGGAAACGTTTAGCCCTGCCTTTTCTACCAGTTGAAGAAACTAAAGCAGTAACAGGCTTACAAGCCTTCACCCAGTATATAAACAACACCTGGATTAGCAGCTCCAAGTGGCACCCTTCCTCCCGGAGCAAAGTCCAGCAGTTTGTAAGAACAAATAACGAGACAGAAGGGTAGATCTGTATTGGAAAAAGAGAGCCCAAGCAAAGTGTCGTATAAAGATGGCATCTTGTAGACGGATCCCAAGAATCACAGAATACAACTTTGGAAAAAATGCTGCTAAGGAAGTAGAAGCTTTGCAGGGAGTGTGTTGAAGCCACAAATGTAATAATTGACCACAAATGTAATGAGGCCCTCAAATGTAAAAAATTGACCTCTAATGCTATGAAAATTATACTCGAAAGAGCACTGCCCTCGATCATGGATAAGCACCACGGCACTCTTTCGAAAAATGCAATATTGTAATACATTCAATTGAAAGAGCGCCACCCTAAATTATTAAGTGCTGCAGTGCTCTTCAAAAAACACGATTAATATTCTATTAAATTCAATCGAAAGAGCCCCATCCTCAGACACCCGTTTCTAATATATTTATTTGAAAGAGTGCCTCCCTCAAATAGCCATCGTCGGAATCAAGAGGTGCTGCCACACTCTTTCAAAAAAAGCAATTAATATTTAATTGCATATTACTGTATTCAAAAGAACACTACTTTACCCAACAACACAGCGTCCTGCTTCAAACCACACAAAATTTAGGTCACGTGCTAGGCAACAGGAATAAACTGACCGGAAAGAATATTTTTTTAGGACTGCTATCTCTATTTTTTGGCGCCTCTATTTGCATCCTTAAAAGTATGGTGCACTGTTTAAACAAAGAGCTGTAGAAAAGAGTAAAACTGTAGGGGGAGAATGCAGATAGCAAAACAAATGGATTGACAGGTGATGTTAACTGAATGTATGTCATTGTTTCCAGATTTCATTCTGATTAACATTTTACACTTCTTTGTAAAATTTGTCACCAAATGTTATTACACTTATGCCTTAAACATTCTTCTGCCTTGAGGATAAAAAAAACCTTGCTTATTAAAGCCGTACACCTAAATATTTCTACCAAATTTTTTCCACTGGAATTTTACTTCACCAGATTCCAGTCACGTAAAGCAAACAAAATGT